CTTTCATCTTTCCTCCTTTATATCTCCTTTAGAACTTTTTTTCTTTATTTGATTTTATTTTATATTTTCCTTGCATGGTATTGTCCCTATTTCAATCATCATCTTGGGAGAAGTATCTAGTACAATGATGGAATCTCAACAGATGATTACACATGTCTCAGCTACAAATTGTGATATCATCTTGGAAACTGGAAATCAAGCTTAGTAACAACAGCTACACTGTGAAATAGGCTAACACAACAAGTAATTCACAGGGTACTAAATGATTAGACATTTACCAGGAAACAGCCATTTGGTGTACTGGTTAGGATGCCACTTGAAAATTATTCAAGAATGAAGTGCCTCATTTTGAATCCATGCTCCAATTCTGATCCAGCTTTCTACTAATTCAGATTCCTGGAAGCAACAGATAATCCCTCACAGAGACCTAGATTGAGTCCTTGACTCCTTGGCTTCACTTTGGATGTTTGTGGGACTTTGAAGTGTGAAACAAGCGTTCTTATCTATCTCTGTGTCATTCTCCTCTTCCCTCCCTCTCTTCCATTCAGATAAATACTATAAAACTTTTATTGGTGTACCACTTCTTTGTGACAGCTAAGGTATCAGGATTTTCTGTTAGAGGATAGTTGTAAATTGTTTAAAAGCTTGTCTTTATATTTGTTCTTCTGCATTTTCTTTTGGTGCTGTAAATATTTTATTTAAGAATGTAAGCTTTTATACTAACTCCTTCAGTAGATTACAGTGATCTATAATGTGTGTGATGAATACTACATTGACTTTCAGGAGATAATTTTATTTTCCATTTCTGTTAGAACACCTTACTACAAATTCCTTGCCCTAACTGAAAATTAGTTTTTATCTTTCTTTTTAAAACCTGTTATAGGGCCCGGTGTGGTGGCCTAATGGCTAGTGTCCTTGCCTTGCATGCGCTAGGATTCCATATGGGTGCTGGTTCTAATCCTGGCAGCCCCACTTCCCATCCAGCTCCCTGCTTGTGGCCTGGGAAATCAAAGATGGCGCAAAGCCTTGGGACCCTGCACCCACGGGGAGTGGGGGGAGACCTGGAAGAGGCTTCAGGTTCCTGGCTTCGGATCAGCTCAGCTCTGGCCGTTGTGGCCACTTGGGGAGTGAGTCAATGAGCAAAAGATCTTCCTCTTTGTTTCTCCTCCTGTCTGTATATCTGACTTTGCAATAAAAATAAACAAGTCTTTAATAAAAAAATAAAACCTGTTACAAAAGATTCAGTATTTGTGCATTAACACTGTTCTGAATATAGCTGAATGTGATGATCAGAACCCCTTCAGCTCATTCTGTACTGTTCTATGCTCTGTTTTTGCATTTTTCTGCTTATACCACTTTTTATCCCCAACCTGCTCTTCCCTGATACATTTTTAAATTTTGTTCCTGGTTTTCTATATCTGTTTTAACACCACGCCACTTAAGGGGTCTCTAAGACCCTTCTTCTGTGGGTGTATTATTAATATTTTTTTCTTCCTGGGGCAGTTTTATGACCCTGTCTTATTGAAATATCAAATGTTTTCAAACCTTTCAGTATTATATTCAGAGAATTTCTTGTCTTATTCACAGAGATAGAAAATTATGCCCATTGGCTTTTAGATTTACCAATTTATACTTGTGGAATATTCCTATTTCTGGTATTTGAGGAATTGAAGACCTGCATGTGTACTTATATTAACCCCCTAAATCTTGTGCTTCTGAAAAAAAATGGCTCCTTTTGTGACATATTCCGTGCCTTAGTGAATGAAACTGAATAATGCAATGGTTGCTTATGTCTGATGGTTCACCATGTTGTGTCAATCCCACATGTCCTCTAGTAGAATTGAAATGTGATTTCTCATTTCAGATATTTACTCAAACACAAGGATGATTGGTAATCTTACGATTTATGCCTGCATTTTCAAATTTGTTAGTATAGAAGCCACTTTTTCCAGTGGCTTTTTTTTTCTTATAAACAGGCTATTTTGACACACCTGATGAAGTGTAATTGTTTTTCTCAGAGTTCTGCAAAACAAATGTGTAAGAACACCAAATGACTGGTTTAGCGTACCCGGTTGTATATGTGATTTTTCTCCTTGAACTCAGCTTTAGACTTCATTTCATAGAACCACTTTTTCTGTGAGAGTTTGCTAGATTTTCAGAGTCTGTAGACATAGGCCTATGTAGCATCTGATGCTGTTTTTCAAATATGTACACTTCTGTCAGTTTCTCAGTCCAAAGTTTTGCACTAACCTGTTCCTGTCATTTGCAATTTTCAGGCAACTAATTTATGTTGTGTTAGCATATATAGTTTTTTTTCTTATTATTATTATCATTTTATGATATAGTTTAATAGGCCCTGCGATTTCCCTTACCTCCTCCCCAACACCCCCCTCACTGAGTTCCCCTATATTATTACAATAGTATAGTTCTTCATAAACAGTCACATGTCCATCATGGTGAGCATGGAAAATGGCAGAGAGTCCAGCATCCTATTGTCAAGATATAGTAAACAGTTTCATTGGGAGTCCATTTTTGGTCTGGAAGTAGAGATGCATACTGCATTGTATCTTCACATCTGGATATGATAGTCTCCATTACACAGTTACTATACACCCCCTTAAATGAAAAGCCACAAAACAAAATCAATAACAGGAAGGAAAAAAAGAAATAAACAATGCCATGATGTTAAATAACATGCTACTGAATGACTAATGTGTCACTTAAGAAATGAAAAAGAAAATTAAGAGCCTTCTTGAAGAAAATGATGCTACTGTATGATCTATGAGTCATTGAAAAATTTAATGAGAAAGGGTTTTGAAGAGATGAAACTTTTAAAAAGTCAAAATCCATGAGATACAGTTTCTATTGATCTATGTTGGTGAGATATGTCTATAGTTTAGGGTTGACATTATGACACAAAGGGGAATTTGAACACTGGACCTATCCATTTTTGATATAACAGTGCTGGGATTATGTTTTTAAAATGGCATTATCTTTTAGGGATACATATTGTGTTAGTTATCTATTGCTGTGTTACAAATTACTGCAAAACTCAGCAGCTTAAAACAATGCACATTTATTTTCCCAATGACTCAGAGGTGTAAGTGTGGGTTATCTGTACCTCAAGGTCTTTCACAAAGCTACATTTAAGATCCTTTTTAGGGCCAGGGTCTTTTTTGAAGACACTAACAGAGAAGGGTTTTTTTACAAATTCATTTTTGTGATTTGGCAGGATTCAGTTCCCCTGAAAGCAATTGGACTGAAGATTTAATTCCCACCAGCTGTTGTCTGGAAGACTCTCTCAGTTCCTTGCTGTATGGACCTCTTTAACAAGGTAGCTACTTTCATAACAGCTAGAAGAAATCAGTGACAGGATGAGGAGAAGGGGAGAGTGGGTGCTAAAGAGTTAAAAGTAGGAATTGCCTGCAACATCCCCTAACTTTCGCTGCCTTATGATGAGTAGCAGCAAGATTCAGTGGTTTTGCTTGCACTCTAGCAAGGTAATTACATCAGAGTCTGCACAACATATCCTAGGGTAACATGAAATAAATTAAACAAGGTTGAAATGTCTACATTGTGTTTAGAATCTGAGGGATTCCTTGGCTGGGGATCTGTTGCTAGCTTGCATTTCTCTTCTGCACAAACAATTAATTTTTAAAAGAAAGATGTGATTGAATACAAATGAGAAAATCACTCAATATCCCCAAAACCGTATCCACTTTTAACCCCTTAAGGTACACACTTTAAAATTTTGTGCATCAAACCTTAAGGTCTTTTTAGTGTTCTCATCCTGTAAACGTCAATGTCCTCACAACTGAAATCAGACATTCACCTTTATGGTCTTCTAGTTATTATGGCTCCTATTTAAGTACTGAGATAATTGTAAATACACGCTAGTAGCCCTTTAACATTAACGATTTCAGGATCACTATAAAGCTTGATAAAAATGAAAATTTGACAACCATATTAAGATTTAGCTTGAGATTCTGCCTGCATATGAATCCACATCTGCAAGGAAAGCCTCCGTGAATAGTGGCAGATTAGTATGCTTTAAAAAACACTGGGACATTAAAAATGAATCCAGTGTTCCTTTAAGAATTGAAAGCAATATTTTTAGGGAAATGAAGTGATACATACAAGTTTATTTAGTTGTTCAAGAACTGAGCTGAGACAAACACTCAAGGGTTTTCTGACTCAGTCATCCTCTTTACTTTTATTAAGGACCTGTCTCTGGTCAGGTAGAAAGCACAGCAGGATCACAGCAGTCTTAAGAGGAATGGTGAGGTTTGTGGGACTGGGGAAACCAAATTTGAGTATTTTTGAAAATATTTGAAGGAATAATCTGAAAATGGGTTCTAGAACTATAGGTGAGAATGGGAGAAAATATATACACATTACACACTTGTGTGAAACAGATGTCATCTGCAACTTATATTTTAAAAATCCCATTAATTCATCAGCCAAAATACTGAAATTCAGTAAACAAATATTGGTTTGTTTCTACTGCCTTCATGATGTAATTAAAAACTTTTTCTCAAGGCTAGTGCAGAGGCTTAACAGACTAATCTTGGGCTTTACAGTGCTGCCATTCTATATGGGTATCTTCGTGTCCCAAATGTTTCACTTCTGAACTGGCTCCCTGCTTATGGCCTGGGAAAGCAGTGGAGGACAACCCAAGACCTTGGCACCCTACGTCCACGTGGGAGACCTGGAAAAGCTTCTGGATTCAGAATGGTGCAGCTCTAGCTATTGTGGCCATTTGGGGAGTGAACCAGTGGATGAAAGATATTCTTTCAGTGTTAATCTGCTTTAAATAAAAAATCTTAAAAAAGTTTTTCTCAAACTACATAAAACCCATCAACTCATACACAGAAATGAGTCCCTGTACTGATATTTTGGTATATTTTATTTAATTTACAGTTCCTTTGTATTAATTTTAGCATTTTTAATCTATTAAATAGTAAGATTTTCAAAAAAGAAACAAACACAGTGGCTGCTTTTTTAAACTGCTTTATTAACTTCACAATATATAATGAACATCTTTCCATGCAATAGGCAAAATTCTTCTGCAAACAAAGTCTTACAGACTGGGTCAAAAATACACCATTCAATTTGAAGCTAAGAAGAGGGAATTAAAGGGAATGGGTAACTTCAAAACGTTTACATCAACAGTACATCACAAATGCGTAAAATTGGGAATCAGAGGTCTCCCTATGTACTTGAGGGAAAGCATCAGGTTTCAGGGCATAAGGCAGAATTCATCATGATGGTCATGGTGAGGGGGGTCAGTGCTAACAGCGCGCAGACTATGACTCAACTGCTTTTCCCTCAGTTTCTGCATTAGCTGCCTCATCTCCTCCCCAAACCTTTCGACATTTTCTTCTCTCACCCTTGCCTGTGGCTCTCCAAGCCTATGCATCATATCCCATCTATAGTGCACAATGGGCTGCCTTGCACGGAACCGTCTACGGTTTCCTCTAGGTGCCAGGTACTCTCCAGCTTCAAAAGGGAGGGCCACCGGCTCCTCTCTATTAGCAACTGGCGCCTTTTCTGCCTTTTCCTTCGGGACAAGCTCCATGTTGGTATTTTTGAATGTCTGTTCTTCTTTGGACTCCATAGCTCCTAGGAGACAAAAGACAAGAGAAAGGAATTGATTTTGGGATGATGGTTCAGCACCGAGGACAGAGGCACCAATTCTTCACCAACCAGCGTTCTGGGCATCGGCTTATTCTTCTTTTCCTAATTTCCGTTTTTTTTTTTTTCCAGTTGAAAAACCATGCGCCCTCTAGGGGGCCTGGATTCCGAGTCCCCCCCTCACCCCCGTAGGTCCTCTCTTCCGCCCCCTCAGGCCTACCATTTCCCCCACAGATTGCATTTCCAGATTTCTGCAGAAATAAAAATGGAAAATAGGGAATGGGGTGGGGAAGCTGGGAGGCGTCTCAGACTGGATGGGCACTCCCAACACCGCCGCCACCACCGACCGTGTGCCGCACCGACCTGGGCCTATCCTTGTCGTCTCCTCCTCCTCCGGATTCTCGCCGCCGCCGCAACACTCAGCACCTGGGACCTGCGGATGGCGAGACATGGGAGAGGGGGTTGCTCAACACCGCCACGCCGCCCCCTTCCCCGCCGGCCCCTTCCCCGCGACCTCTTCCCCGCGACCCCTTCCCCTCGGCCTCCCGGATGCTCCAGTCGCTCCCCCTCCCCCGTTTTCTCCCGCCGGCTTCACCGTTTTCCCGCAGCGACTAGGGGGAGTTTCCTTTAGGTCGTACTTGCTCTGCCCGCCAGCACCCCAGCCGCCCTGGGACCCCCACCCCAGGGGCCACTGCGCAAACCCGGGGCTGCGGTGTGGAGAGAGCCGCGGGTGCAGCTGCGCCGCTGTGCGCCCGCGAGCTGCTACCGCCCTGGCCGCCAGGCCCTCACCTGCTCTGCTTTCCCCGGGCCCGATGCCAGCCCGCCGTGCGCAGGACAGCGGGGAGCTGCTAGTCAGACGCGAGTGACGACTGCACCCGAGGCTGCGTCCCTCTGCAGCTCGGGGTCACGTGACGGCCGCGCGTCACCGCCGCGCTCGCCCCCCTCCCCGGCCCCGCTGGCCAGCAGACGGTCAACAGGATCCCCCTCCCCGCGCACCGCCGCCCCCGCTTCCGTCCGTGCCCCGGCGCCACGCACCGCCCTGTCACTCATCTGCAGCCTCTCCAATCTGAGGGCCCACAAGTGGCATCACCGCCTTGCGGTTGGAGTATGCCTTGCCCTGGTTACTAGGGAAGGTCTGTACCAGCTCCCCTCCCCTCTTCCTTTTCATCCAACATCTGCCTCCCCTGGTCTTAGCTTTGGTCTTTTCTGCTGCCCAATAAATCATCCTTTAGTTTTAAAAGCCAGCATGATTCAAGAAATTGAAAATTTTTGAAAGAGCAGATTCAATCTGGAGATGTAGATAAACAAGGCCAAAATCATTGTTTCTGTTCATCTGTACTAGAGAGAAAATGATTTCTTTGAACTCCTTACGCTATAATTTTTAGAGCTCTTGTTTTTCAGCCAGCCCAGGTAGAAGCTCCTCTGGAACCCTTTGGCTATCACCCACCTGGATTTGAACATGCAGATTGCTGGGATCTTTATTCCTAGATGGATGATCTCTCCTCCTGATCCCCTGTAGTTTTGCTACAGGATCATTATCTGCCAGTTCATTCCTACTCCAATTATCGTTAATTCCAGAACCTGAGAAACACTTCCCACTGATTCTCCAGGGTAAACATGGACTCCTTGGCTTGGATATCTGTGAATTCCCTTAAATGTAACTACAAATTAATTATATGTGTTTGGGATGGTAGCATATTTACATTTGTGTGGGGAGAGGGACCACACTTCTTAGTAGATTCTCCAAAGAGGCTGTAATTCCTTTCCCACTAAAGAAGTTTAAAAGTTTAAAATTTCCTGAGCATTGTATCGCCCCTGCCCCCGTTATTTATGCCTAGCTTAGACCCATTTCTTTTGGTTTGCTTACTACTTTAATATTTACACATTGGACATAGCAGAAATAGGGCTATCATTCCTAAGCCCATCTATTTTTTCTGTATATTCAATTAATAATCAATTCTGGTTAGATAGCTTTTTATATATACTTAGTTAAAAGCTTTGTAGTGATATACATGAGGTAAAATATTTGTCCATTTGAAGTGTACAATTTCGGGGCAAGTGTGTGGAACAGAAGTTAGGCCAATTAATGTCCTGTGATTTTCACAGTGCCTAACTAATCTAGGGGAAAAAATCTTACCCAATTCTAGTCACCTCTAGTTTTTCATGAAAAAAGAAGAGAAATACCCAACTTCAGCTTACTCTACATATAGCCCACCTATCGAGAAGAAAATAGAGAAAATTTATGAAGTTTACAGACTGTATAGACATGAACTCACAGCCTAAGCATACTGAAAGCAGCCACAGGTGATACTAGATGGTATGCATCTCCCAAAGCTGAAGTCCAAGATTCCACTTGATACTGGGGCAGGCCAAGAGGCTTGGTTCACAGCTACAGGACCAGGACTAGGGATGGGGACTATCAGACTCTGCCCAATGGAAGATCCTTTTCTTTCTTTCTTTCTTTCTTTCTTTCTTTCTTTCTTTCTTTCTTTCTTTCTTTCTTTCTTTCTTTCTTTCTTTCTTTCTTTCTTTCTTTCTTTCCTTCTTTCAGATTTATTTACTGTTATTGGAATGGCAGATCAGATTTACAGAGACAAGGAGACACAGAGGAAGATCTTCCATCCACTGCTTCATTCCTCAAGTGGCTGCAATGGCCAGAGCTGAGCCAATCCAAAGCTTCTTCTGGGGCTCTCACGTGGGTGCAGGGTCCCAAGGCTTTGGGTCATCCTCGACTACTTTCCCCAGGCCAGAAGCAGGGAGCTGGATGGAAAGTGCAGTAGCCCAGACACAAACCGGTGCTCAAATAGAATGCTGGCACTTGCAAAGGTGAAGATTTAGCCACTGAGCCATCACAAAGGGGCCCCCAACATAGGGGTTTCAAAAGATTGTTATTGCATCATGTTCACTAACAATTATTATTTTTTCCCAATTGGTGATGGGAACTTTATTTTTACTTTTTTACTATTTTATTTTGATAATCTTTACATAGTTGACTAGGGTACAAAGAGTCTATGGCTACAGGAATGTGGGTAAGACCGTTGATTCCACATTGTAATTTTTATTTCTACATCTGGAGTAATGGGAGAGATAAAAGGAGAAGCCCCACCCAGTCTACCACAAGTGGTTTTGATTGTTCAACAGTTCTGAGTTGCCGCCAGTCTTTCTATGCCAAGCACGATGAAATCTCTTCAGAATCCACTGGCTGACATAATTTACCTTAGAGTCTCCATTAGCCCATAGTTTCACTGCCAACACATGGCTGGAGTAGTTGATCCATTTGTTTTGTCCTGCGTCCACTGTTGTGGTACCAGGTGTCCTCTGCATGTTCCATGGACTGTCATATCTTCCATGTGCTGTCTACTGTTCCATCTGAGCCTCTGAGGAGGTTCAGCTTTGACACATGCACTCTGTGGTCAGACCACGGGACCTGCAATTCTCTTCATGGTAGGGGTTCTGAGATCAGCAGTTCAGTTGGAGGGATCCCCAAAGAACCTTCGTCTGAGGTGATCCTAGACCTGATTCTTGTGTGTGCATGCTAGTACAGGGTCTGGCACAGCCTGTCATCCCAATCAGCTTATGCATATGTTGTTGGTTGCAACTGCCTGGTCAGTTCTGTTTCAAGCCCTATCTTCCACATGAACTGATGGGTGTTGCAGTCCAGCCTGATTCTGCCCACCTCACACTAGGCCCTCACGCAAACCAGTTGGAGCTGCAACCTAGTCAGAACAACCCACAATGACCTCCCCAACCAGACCTGCCCTCCTGCCCTGGTTCCCATGATTGTTAGTATGTAAAGCTTACTAGTCCGGTCTGTTCCATATCCCATTCAGCTCTCTTACATGTCAATGGGTATTGAAGCCTATTTCAACCCAACCAACCCCACTATCCAGCCCATATACATGCTGGTGGGTGCCATTCTGTCCAGCCAGGTCTGCCCCAGAGCATGATTTTCATGCTCTCCAATGGGAGTGGTAACCCAAGAGGGAGGAGCCCACTATTTCCCTCCCAGGTCTCTCTCACTCCTGGATTATGGACTCTCCAGGTGGTTCTGTGGTTTGACTTGACAGAATTAGCCCCCAATGCCAGCCTCTGCCAGCTGATGCTACAGCAAAGCCCAACCAATCCTCACCCACTCTGATTTATGGTTGCACCAGTTGGAACAATCAGCCCAGCCTGACTTTTCCCTAATCTAGCTTACATGAGGCCCACTAACAATTATTTTTAACTGTAGGCACAGTAAGCATATATGTTAGCTTATTTGCCACTCCAGATCAATTTTAGAGGTTCAGTTCCAAGATCAGGTGTCCTCATTAATTTGGTGTCTAATGAGAGCAAAAGATAGCAATGGTGGAGAGCATTTACAGAAAGGATCACACAGTAAACCAGGATGCAGTTTTATAGGTATTTTTAGTTAGTTAAGGCAGTTCCCTTTCCAGTTTACTGATTTTTTTGTTATTAACGGATGTTAGATTTCATCAAATGCTTTTTATTCATTTAAAATTAATACATCTGAAGATAGGTCTAACAGAGTAAAGATCCGGTCAGTTAAAAGCCCCAACAAGGCCTCAGTATCAATATACAACATTATGGAATTAATTGACATAGTAATGGGTAGACAATATGTTAAAAATAATGCAAGTTCCATTCTTCGAAACATCTGGGTTGAGACAGTATCAATGACAGGTTCAAAAAAATAACCAACAATCAAACAAAAAATTACAGGTTAAATCAAGGCAAACATGTGGTATCTAATCTTTTGGGATTCACTCATTTCCCTTAGCATTATAGTTACTCTGTTAGACCTATCTTCAGACCATAGAAGGTCTCCCCAAGAGGCCACTGAACTTATCTGGACAATAAGACGCTGAACTTTATGCTAGGCATGTGTTTGCAAGCAATGAATCTCAACTGAACTTGAACTATGGTTATGCAACAAGGTGGAGGAATCCACCATGGGGGGAGGGGTATGGGAGGGGTGGGGGGGATCCCCAGCGCCTATAAAACTGTACTACATAATACAATGTAAGGAACAATAAAAAAAAAAATAAAAAAAAATAAAATTAATACATCTGGATATAGCTCGGAGTGGTGGGGCACATTTATACTGCTTGCTATTTGCTGAAATTCCTGGATCTGCAATATGGTGTGTAATGTTATCTCAAGGAAATTCTCAATGGTTAGCATTTCAGCTTCTTTATCTGTTCCTTTATGTCTTTTAATCATCCTGTTATTCCTATTATATGTATTTTTATCTTTAACTGTTGCTCTATACTTCGTGGATCTCTACGTTTTGTGGATATTCTGTTCTGTTTTTTTCTGTTTTCATTCTCCTGTTTTTCAGTTGGGAGGCCTGTATTATTGCATTCTCAAGATAAGAAATACATTTCCATGGCTCTTGAAACTTAATATGCCCATAAAATATTCTTTATTTCTGTGACAACATTAGCTTTTCTTTTACGACCTTTTTGAGAATGTTCATATTTATGCCTATGTTGCTCCCTCTGTCTTGAATGCTATTTGTCAATCAGAGCTCTTATGTAAGTCATTATGTTTTTTTATGTTAGTCATTATGTTATAAAAAATACCGTTCTATGTGCATCTACAACCAACTTATCTTTGACAAATGAGTTAAAATCATTCTCTGGAGAAAAGACAATTATTTCACAAATGGTGTTGGGAGAACTGGATTTCTACACCAGAAGTATGAAACAAGATTTTCTTATCTTTCATACTACACAAAAATCAAATCACAATGAATCAAGAATTTAAATCTGTGATCTGATATCATATTACTACAGGAAAGCATGGGAGAAACACTGGAAGACACTGGCATAGGCACCGGCTCCTTAAATAATATCCCACAAGCACATGCAGTAAAAGCAGAAATAGACAAAACGGATTATATCAAGTTAAGAAGCATCTGCACAACCAAGGAAACAGTCAGCAAACTGAAAAGGCAGTGGACAAAATGGGAGAGAATATTTGCAAAATGAATATCTGGTAAAGAGCTAATAATAACAATATTTTAGGAGCTCAAGAAACTCAACAACACCAAAAATCTAACTA